TTTGGCACAACAGCATCTTCAGATGTTCCATCCTTAGCCCCGATTGCTTAATAAAACTTTTTGAGATAATTATTAGGATCAATTTGATGCTAACAATCTCCCCCCAAAGTTTTATGAAGCAAGCATCTTCATGAAGTCTTYAGGTCTTCTCCCCTCTGCTTTCTTGATTAAAGCTTTAGTGTGTTTGGTATGGATGGAATTTTCAAGCTCCCCCCTGAATGTAGTTCTTTGTTCTTCATTTTCAACTCTTAGATCAAATCAGATTCAATGTGAATGTTCTTCATTTTCAACTCTTAGATCAAATCAGATTCAATGTGAATGCAGCACCACTGATTGCACAAGATGCAGCTTTAATCTGCCCACAATCCAGCACATTCTTTGAAGCACAGAATAGCCACTTACCCCAAAAGTAGCAAATTCATCCAAAAATGGATAAATAAATGTGTGAATTACTTGACAAAACAGTGCAAACAGTCTTATGACAAAGAAACTTTCATTGAACCGCAAGTTGAGTAGGAATTCAGCTTTAGAGCTTGATTCAATTGAAGATAACTTGAATAACCGAAGCAAACACCATTGTTATTGAGAAGCGGATAGAAGAATTAACATTTAAGCTTTATGACTTCAAGAAACAGCAGGTCAAGTCAAAGAAAATTGACAGAATTGCTGTTAAGGGCAGAACATGAAGGAAATTGCCATAAACATGTAGGATTGGTGATTACAGGCAAAGAAAAACTTTAAGCTATTATAGATTCAAATCCACAAAAAGAGAGAAGATGAAAGAATACTCAAGATATTGGCGATAAATATATGTTTGGCAAATAAAACGCCAATTGCCTTAGGTTGTGAGTACCATGAACTCTTGCTAAAACGCCTACGCGTAGATTTGACAAAATCAAAGTTCAATAAGTCGACTGACTCCAAGAAACTCTATAGACCTAAAGATTCAAGATCAAAATAGGTTTGAATTCATCCAAGAACAAATCCCTTAAAAGGAATTTGATTAAAAATTTTAAACATATGATGAAATCAGAGTTTTTGGGACCAAACTGCAGTCGAACTGGAAGCAGTTCATGAGAGTATTTTTTCAAGAAAATTGAATCTACTGCCAGAAAGATCGTATCGATAGAAGTTAATCGATTTGGCTCTGATACCACTTGTTAAAACCCAGATCTGACAATAGAACAATTTAATAAGGAAATTCAAGAGAAATTTGTAGAAGAAGAAGATGAAATAGAAATYGACGGCGCTTYCTTTATTGAATGGAAAATTACAAACTCTCAAGAACCCTAATCGACTCTCATAAGATGTATCTGAATCTATGTGTTTACAATAAATTCTCTATTTTCTCTCATATTTTTCTCTACCTGAAACACTACTTATATAGGCAATAATACATGATAACTGAATAAGATAAGCATTATCCAAAATAGGATTAGCCTTATCCAAAATAGGATTAGCCTTATCCATAATAGGATTCTGAAGATAGTCGTCTTGAAGGACCAGAGGATAGACAGACCAGAGAGGCTCTAGTCCTCCAGAGGCTCTGGTCAATACAACCAGAGGCTCTAGTCCTCTTCACAGAGGCTCTGGTGTCTCTTACAGATTCTCTGGTTCTTCTTACAGAGGCTCTGGTCGTCCATACTTGGTCGATTTAGCACAGCGGCTGGTCTTTTTCCAGACTTAGACGTTTTGGCACAACAGCATCTTCAGATGTTCCATCTTTATCCCCGATTGCTTAATAAAACTTTTTGAGATAATTATTAGGATCAATTTGATGCTAACACATACTTTTTTTATCAAACAAGATTTATCTCTTAACAATTCAAATGATGTCTGATAAACAAACAACCCCTAAATATCACTAATCAAAACGAGAGTAAAGTAAACTACAAAAATAGTCCCACGACTATATGCATTATTCTACAAGTGCAGATTTATGGGCATTATTTTTACTTTTAGTTCAAAAAAAAAGTATATTTTTCTTAACAATATTAATTGTGATGTTTTTACTATCATAACGTATAAACCATGAATTCATTGAGCTTTTCAGTTAACCAGTATCATGTATCTCGAGAAAATGCCAAAAACTGATAGTAGTAAGGAAAAAGAAAAAGTTTGGTTGAGTTTTAGACAATATTGCATGTTTTCAGATGTTTTCGGTTATTTCTAATTGTACTAATTTGGTTATTTGAAATGTTTTTAGTTCTAAATGTTATATGATATGTAAGTTGATTTCTCTGCTATTTCTTGAAGGTATTATGGCATTCGGATTATTTTGACAATTGTAAGTAAAGTTTGTAGCGTTGTCTTTATGAAGAAAATAAGGGTGCTACATATACTCATTACAACTAATTTGGAAGTTGGACGTTTTTTTTTTTTTTGTTGTGACTCGTGTAAACATGTAAATTGTTATCACCTTCTTGATACTTATAAATGTCTAAATATAATTGTCATCAACACTTAGAGTAAATTATGTTTTTAGTTCCTGTGGTCTGTTGAAAATTTTTGTTTTCGTCCTTTTGGTTTTGAAATTACGAATTTCATCCTTATAGTTTATAATTTATTGTCTTTTTCGTCTTTATGATTTAAAATTTATTTTTTTTTTGTCCCTATGGTTTATAATTCGTTTCTATTTTAGACCTCATATTTAAAAGTGGTGTTTTTGGCCTTAAGGGTAAAAATAGAAATGAATTACAAACCATAGGAACATAAATCAAAATTTCAAAACCACAGGAATAGAGATAGTCAAATCGGCCCGGCCCGGCCCGGGACCGCTGGAGGACCAGGACCGGGACCGACAAAGGACCGGCCAGGCCCGAAACCGGTAAGGACCGGTTATGGGACCGAAAACAGGGACCGGTTGAGGTTTTTGGTAGTTTCATGGGACCGGTTTTGGGACCGACTATGGACTGGCCCGGCTCGGCCCGAAAATTCAAATAATTTTATAAATAAATGTATTTTTAAATAATTTTATAATGTATTTTTATAAGAAAACATAATTTTAATTATATTAAAACGCATTTTTAAAGTGTATTTGAGTGACCCAATTGTAAATTTAATAATGTATTAAAAATATATATCATTAAGAAAAGCAAAAAAAAATCTTATTTTTTAATGCAAGGACCGGTTGGGACCGGGACTGGCGGCCCATAACCGGTTATGAAGTACCTTGACCGGTTCTATCATTTTCGACAAAGACCGGGACCGGTTATGGCCGGTTATGAGAAAGGTTAGGACCGATTGGGCCCGGCCCGGCCCGGCCCAGGACCGGTTTTTGGCCATCTCTATACAAGAATGAAATCCACAGTCTTTAATAAACCACAAGGACAAAAAAATATAATTTACTCTAACATTTATAAGCATTAAAAAATCTAGAGTAAATTACACTTTT